ATGTATATATATATATAAATATAAATATATATATATATATATATATATAATGTATGTATAAGTGTGAATGAGTGTGTATGGGTGTTTCCCAGTACTGGGTTGCAGCTGGAAGGACATCTGCTGTGTAAAACATATGTTGGAATAGTTGGCGGTTCATTCCGCTGTGGCAATCCCAGATGAAGCCGAAATAAAGTGATTGAATTAATTTGATTAGGTGTCATCTCAATTGTATCAGCTCCAGTGATGATTGTTAAATAGCATGTTGGAAGGTTTTATGCAGACCTGGCAACCCTTCTCTAAAACAACCCCCCCCCCCCCCCACTCACCCCCAAAAAAAACATTTTGTTAAGTTTTTTTTTTTCGTGTGAATTCCTGTTAAATCATTACCTTGTAGATACGGTGAGATCAGGTTGCACATATTTGCTGCTTAATCTTCAAAACACGTTTGATTTAATTTCGTTTTTGTTCGATTTAAGATATTTCTGTAGTAATTTCATATTCAAGCTTGGCACATCAGGACGAATTTACTTTCATAATCGCCATCAGCACATTGTATGCACTTAAGTCCCTGCAGCAGGAAATAAAACAACATCTGCCAAGAACAAATGCGAATGTGATCAAGAGTGAGTGGAAATGTAATATACGATATTCTCGAAAGCAAAACAACCTCCACGTTTTGAGTCTAGGCTATATTTAGAGCATCAAAGCCATTTAAATATAGCAAACAACAGTAGCGCACTGCATGTAACTTACAAATATTATCATTTTTAGGTTTGTCTAGCTATTTCAGTATTATTAAAACCATCTCACCCCATCCCGCAGCATTCTCTTTCTCGTTCTCCTCAAGTTTTAGTCCTTGAGATGAGATGAAATGATGATGAAGTGGCCCACTGCAATCAGCGCTCAATCACTGCGCCGTTCCCTGCGTCGCTCCACAGGCGGGAAAATCCATGTTAAGTGGTCTGTCCACCGGCAGAGAGGTCAAGCTGAGGCCGGACGGGACTGTGGAGACCACTGGTGTAGGGAAAGAGAGTAAGGAATGAAAAGAGAGCATGAGAAAGGAGGAAATCAAGAGGAGTTGTGCGGGTCAGGCAGTGTTTTTTTTTAAATGAGACAGGTGATTCTGTGATTATGTTAACATCGTGTCTTAAAGGTGCAGTAGGTGAACTTCCACAATGCTAACAGCTTAGCATAAATCTCTGATTTACAGTCCCTACCCTGGCGTCTAGAGCCACGCCTCCTTAAACACGAGCACAGCAAAAGAACGCTCTCTCATGTTGAAAGCGACT